GTGTCCCTTCACAGGGACGAGGACGTGGATGAGAGCGAGCAGCAGCAGCAGAAGCCGTTGTCTACCTTTGCATCTCCCAGAGAACTCCTGGTGCTGGAGTGTGCGGTTGGCGAATCTGCCGAGCGTACAGCTCTGATGTGGCGGCGTCTTCGTGAGGCTGGACTGGGGCCGTTTGTATTTCTCCCCGTCCGCCGCTCTGCGGCAACTCGCGAAGGTGTCACATATGTTGTGGAGCGGCCGGCGGACCTGCCGTGGCCACCCGTTATGCGGCGCCACGTCGCGCGGGCGTGTGCGAGGAGCCCACACACACCACTGCAGATGCAGTGCGTGGATTCGGTCCCACTTGAAACCCAGCAGCAGCAGCAGCAGGAGGAGGAGGAGGAGGAAGACCCCTGGCGAGACGTGGGCGTGGTGTTGGGACCCGCGCTGTGCGTGAATGCGAGCGGGACAGTGATTGCGTCGCCGTGCATCCCGCTCTATGCCAGCAGCAGCAACAACGCGGAGAAGGATGATGATGATGATACAGAAGAAAAGGATATGTGCGTCAATGGGGACACGCTGCTGGTGCTGCTGCTCCGCCAGGCATCCGCGTGGAGCGTTGCGCTTCTGCGGCGCTGTGGCGCACTGGCAGATAATGGCCTCGCCAGCTCAGCGGCGGCAGCAGCAGCAGCAGCAGCGTGCGTGCGGCGACGCGTTGGTCTGGCGGTGCAGGCGGTGTGTTACCTGCAGCAGGCACTGACGCCACAGGCTGACTGCGAGGGAGTGGAAGACCTGATGGGTCTCGTCGTCGGCTGGGCACGTGTGATGCACAACACCCTCGTATCGCCTGCTGCTGAGTTGCGCCACCGCGTCACCGAACCGCGCTCGCATAAGAAAGGAGACACCGTGCCAACGGTGGTGGAGCACCTCTCTGCTGTCAGTGGGAGGGACATTCAGGAGCGCAGTGCCTCCTCATCGCCGGTGCAGAAGCACGCACTGCCGTGGCTGCATCCCTCGAAGCTTGCCGCCTCGTCGTCTGTTGCTTCTCCTGCTGGTTGTGTCCTTGGTGGTGGCAACGAGGCGGAATGTAACAATGAAGGGACGCAGCCGACGGGCGCGCCCAACTTGCGTAATAAGAGAGGATACCCGTCTTTCCTGTGCATCTGCAGCGAGGTCCTCGAGGAGGCTTTTCATCTTCAGACGCAACACGTGGAACAACAGCAAGAGGANAAACAAGAACTGGATACTCTTCACACGGGCGTGATGGGCATGCGCGGCATTGGCGCGCCTGTCACTCCCGCTGCTGCTGCTAGGGTGAGACCAGGGGATGATCACCGGGGCAAAGACGTTCATCCGTTGAAATGCAGCAGTATCACAAGCTCTGATACGTTTCTCCCATCCCTTATTCACCGACTCGTTGTCCTGCATGAGTCCTCGCCCAGCAGTCACACTGGCCGCCAGCTGTCAGCGATCGCGCGTGGGGATCTGTTTCCAAGCCGCGCAATGCTCCAAGACACAGATCTGCTGCAGCGACGTCTGTGTGGAGCCACCGCTGCACCAACACACCTGGAAGAAACCGCAACTACTGTCTGCTTCTACGATCTCGACCCGCACCAACTGATGGGATCGGGCGAGGCCACGGCGTCCCACTTCGCTGCATCGGCGATCGCAGCGGCGGCTGGTGTCGTCCGCAACGCGGGGCACCCGTGTTACCTCTACATCACGCAGACGGATATCATTTTAGTTAGTGCCTTCAACGGTGGCTACGCGTGGCAGACGCCGGCATCGTCCCCCTTTTGGAAACGTGGGGAGGCGGCGTCGAACGGTGGCAATGCCAACAACCCAGACAGTGGCGGTGACATCCCGTCTGGCGTGAAGCAAGTGCTGCTGGTTCCGCGTGTCTCGCTGACGGAGGTACAGCAGGTGAGCGCCGCTGGGGACGGAGCGGCAGCGGTACCGTTCCTGCGGCTGCAAACGCGCTCGTGCCGCCGCGTGTGGTTGGGGTTCTCCAAGGAGACAGCCATGCGGGCTGCGTACGCCGAGCTCCTCAGTAGCATGAAGTCAACCTTCGGAAATCGCCTCCTCGCAAGTGCGCAGCGGCCGTGGCGCATGGCCGCACTCGCTCTCACCGCCGGCGACGTGCTGCCGTCGCCACACACGCCGTTCTACCAGCAGGCGCTGCGCAACATCCTCGTCGCCCTCGCGGACATCGAGACGCGACGGGAACAACGAGGCCTCGTGGAGCAGCAGCAGCAGCAGGAAAAGCAAAGACACGGCTGGTGGCTTTACTCCGCTGGTGAGGAATATGTGCGGCTTGGCGTCCCTGAGCGACAGTGGCGGCTGACGAACGTCAACGCGTGCCACGCGTGCTTCCCAACGTACCCGGCGTGCTTTATGGTGCCGAACTGCCTGAGCGACGAGACGCTGGTTAGGTCCGCCGACCTGCGCATGCGGGGGCGGGTGGAGGCGCTCACATATTACTACTCGCCCACCGCTGCGGCGATTGTTCGTGCGTCGCAGCCAGTCGCCGTGCAGGCCCTCTACGGCTCGTCCTTGGTATTCGACACGATCGAGGCATATCGCCGAGCGTGTGGCTTGCAAATGCGCTTCTTTGACCTGCGTAGCCCAATACACGCACTTGGTAACACATTCGCCGGTGGCGGCTTCAAAATCAGCGGGGATCAGCGCTTCTGTTCGNTTGACCTGCGTAGCCCAATACACGCACTTGGTAACACATTCGCCGGTGGCGGCTTCAAAATCAGCGGGGATCAGCGCTTCTGTTCGCTGGTTAACATTCACGGGGTGCGCAACAGCTTTGAGGAGCTCTGCGCGAATGTGCTGGACAGCAATCCGACGTTTCAGGCCGTCATGAAGGCGGTACGCGGCAGTACAGCAGCAGCAGCAGCAGCAGCAGGGGCACCCAATGCAACGTCCAGCACGCCGTCTTTGTTACTGCAGCACAGGAAGAGCGCAGAAGTGTGGAGCGAGCAGATACACGCACTTCTCCGCACCGCACGGGACGCTGCACGACTTGTGGCGGGCTTACCAGAGGAGGAGACGCTTGCCCCCGCCACCACACGCACAGTGGCATCAGCGGCAATAGCAACAGGTGTCTCAAGTGGGATGGACGCAGCTGCAGGGGCATCAGGTAGTAACGATCGATCTCCGCAGGGATCCTCCATTTTGCATGTATGGATGCATGCATTCAGTGCGATCAATTATCGCGGTGGTAATGGTAGTGGTAGTAATAATAGTAGTACTAGTAGTGGTGGTGGTGGTAGTAATACTTTTAATGCCGTCCAGCAGCAGCAGCAGACACCACCCTCATCGTATAGCGCGCTGCAGAGCCGCAAGGTGGCCAGGCTTGTGATGGTGAACTGCTCTGACGGCTGGGACCGTACGTCGCAGGTGTGTGCGCTCGCAGAGTTGCTGCTCGATCCGTACTATCGCACAGTGGAAGGTTTTCTCACGCTGCTGGAGAAGGAGTTTGTGTCGTTTGGTCACCCATGCCTTACACGCTCATCGACACTGCGTGGTCAGGGCGATGCGTGGAGGGGGGTGGGTGGGCAGGACACTTTGGAGACCCTCAACGAGGATAGTTCGGCACCGACCTCGTCGAGCAACACGCAGAGCTCACCGATTATCCTGCAGTTTCTCAACGCGGTGCAGCAGCTCGTCCGCCTATATCCGCACTGCTTTGAATTCACGGAAACCTTCTTGTTGCTGATTGTAGACGTGCTACATGCGGGGATCGTCGGGTCGTTCGCGGTGAATTGCGAGAGAGATGTGGAACGGTGGGATGTGGAGCAGAAGACGCTTTCGCTCAGTCAGTTCTTCGCTGTACTCTTAGCCACCACTCTTCCGGTGGGATCGGAAAATCATACCGTGCCAGCAGCAGCTGCAGACGACGACAAGGAGGATGTCGAGGATGACGTGAAGAGGGGTGTAGTGGTGGATTCTGGCTCATCCCCACCTGTAGTCCCGCTGCAGATGTTCTTCCGCGCCTGTGGTGGTGGTGCATCGCTGCACACAATCGGTTGGTGTACTGCGGCTGGAAGCAAACCACGTCGGCTGGCGGTTTCATACGACGCGATGTGCTTCTCGGGTCTCTTGAACCCACACTTCTCATTTGCCGACAACAAGCTCCTGCTAGGCCCTTTGGTGGACCCGGTGCGGCTCTCGCAGCTCATGCTGTGGGAGGAATTCTTCCTGCGGTATAGCTTCTGGAACGAGCGGTGCATGCAGCTGCGGCGGTACGGCGAGCAAAGCGCATCCACGTTCTGTGCAGCTGTCATGGCGTCGGTACGGTCAACTGTCCTATCGCCTTCCTTGACGATTCCCATGTCTCTTCCACACCTACAGCAGCAGCAGCTGCAGAAGCAGAGGGAGAAGTCATCGCATATATATCCCGCCGTAGCTTTCACAGATGCAAGTGACTCCTGCGATGCTGCGGCTGCAGCTCCTGGTGTGGGTATAGAGGAGGAACGTGGTGGGTTGGCGATTGCGTCGAGGCCCGTCACAAAGACGATATCCCTGAGTGGAACGTGCACCCCTACTGCGCGGTTCTCATCCATCTCCCTGAGAGCAGCCACAGGAGGA